CCTGCTGGTGCCCAAATTGTTCCCAATAAAATCACAAGAGAGTCTACTGTTTCCTTAAGGCATTCTCATGTATAATTTTCTAGGACTTAACCATTCAGGCAAGAACTGTTAAAGGCTCCATGTGCTTGGGCTTCTGAGCTTTGCTGAAGCTGTATAGCTCAGGGAGGGGGTGTTGGGGGGACCCACGGCCCCTCCTAATCATCAAGTCTGTGCAGGAATCGGGCAGTGCAACCACACGTCGCTCATCAGGTTTGCATCTTATCTTTCTTCCTCTCCCCTGGAAATCATGAGGAAGATCAGCGGTCATTTCAGCTGAGTCCACAGTCACTCATGGAGCATCTGCTCTGCGCTCGCTTATTCCGGGCTTGGCCTGGCCGAGCACCACAGAGGCTCTGGCTGGCACTGTGCTTGGCACTGGGACATGATGGAAGACCCAGGGACTGCCTTCCAGGAGCTCATGGATCACGGAGACTCCGTGGACAGACGCAGCTCAGAGGAAGGAATGGGGGTTTGGCCATATATTGGAGGATGAGAAGGAGGCAGCCGGGCAGGGGAGAGGGGGCTGTTTCAGGTAACCCCTCCCCCAGAAAAGCCAGCGAAAGCAAAGGCAAGGAGCCAACCATTCAATCATTCAATAAATCAAGTATTGGGCAACTGCCACCAGTCAGGCCCCACGGTACTGGTGCTGGACACATGGACACAGAGCTGAATGCGATGACAGGGCCCTGCCCACCAGGAGTTCACGTTCTGTGCTAGAGACGCAGAGAGTAAGTAGTTCAGGACCCCCTAGAGCGCATAGGGTATGTTGAGGGGGTCCCACCAACATGGATGCACTGGGGCCTGCAGGCGAGGCAGGGATCAGACATGAGGGGAGAGTGGGCAAGGCTGTGCACATCAGCTGAGCAAAGGGCCTGGCTCCGCTGCCTCAGCCCTTGGAAACTATCCTCTTGGCATCCCCGCTGACCCGAGAAGCCCATGCAGTGAACCACGGCCCAGTGCCCAGAGGGTCCCTCCTCCCCCAGGTGTCCGCGTCCTCCCAGCTGCAGTTCCTGCACTGCCTAGTCTCAGGACCCTTTTAGTCTTCAAAAGTACTGAGGGCCCCAAGGGGCTTTTTATGTGGGTCGTATCTATCAAGGTTTCGTATACTAGAAGTTAAAACAGAAAAATTAAAAATGCTTATTAATCCATTTTAAAAAACAACGGATACCATGTGTAAACAAGAGAAGCCACCGCAATGAGAAGCCTGTGCACTGCAACGAAGAGTAGCCCCCACTTGCCTCAACTAGAGAAAGCCCGTGCGCAGCAACAAAGACCCAACGCAGCCAAAAATAAATCAATATTTATTTATTTATTTTTAAAAAATATATATTTCCACAAAACAACCATATTTTCAAAAATTCAGTGAGGAGAATGGCATTATTTGACACTTTTACGTCCCTTTGTAAAGGCCAAATAGAAGGCAGCTGTATCTTCCCGTCAGCTTCAGTCAGTTCCCCTTAATGGCCTGTGTCACAGCCTCTGGAAGCCACACTGCACACAGTGAGAAGAGAGTGAAAAAGGCAGCTTCGGCCTCTGGGAGCCTAGGGCACCCACATCACCCTTCAGGAAGCACTTTCCTAGAGGTACCTTCTCCAGCAAGGCGACGCTCACTGCATCTGTCTTCCTCAGGGGCAACTGGGTTACAGGAGCTGCAGCCCCTGCAGCTGCAGACTGGCTCCCGTGGAAAGGACGAGACCCCTGTGGTTCCAGGGGACAGGGTTTATTGTGCGGCAGACCCTCGCCCTCTGCCCCTCTCTGAGGGTCCGCTCCATTCCTCTCCTCAGTCAGGCAGGGCCGTCCCTCCAGCTCTGCTCCCAGCTTGTGGACAGTGAACTTGGAGCCCTGGGCGTGGCTGTGGAGCCTGCTCAGATGCTACAAAACTCCTGTGACTGCAGACCAGATTCAGACCCCTGACCTCAGCACCGAGGGCCCATCGTGGCCCTGCCAGCTGCCAGGCACCCGCCTTTCCTCTGCCCTTCCCAACAAGGACACGCAGGGGCCCGAGTGGTCCTGTGGCCCCTCCTCTCTTGGAGCCATCTCGAGGTACCTCTGTGGGTCCGCCCCACAGACAAGGACTGTTTGGCTGGCTCCCCTCCGTCCTCTTGGCCCTTCCTTCTTGGTGCCTCCTTAGCTGACATCTTGAGATTTCCACATGCCCCACCTGTTCCATTATTCTTTGGAGACATGTTTTCACGCACTCCACAAATACAGGCACACCTTGGAGATGTTGCAGGTTCGGTTCCAGACCACTGCAGTAAAGCAAGTCACACAGATTTGCTGGTTTCCCAGTGCATATAAAAGTTAGGGTTACACTAGACTGTAGTCTATTAAGTATGCAAGAAATACCATTATATCTTAAAAAACAATGTAGATACCTTGTAACAAGTATAATAATGAAAAAGTTTGAGATATTGTGAAAATCACGAGAATATGATGCAGAGATGCAAAGGGAGCAAGTGTTGTTGGAAAAATGGCGCCTACAGGGTTGCTACAAACCTTTATTTTGTAAAAAATGCAACATCCATGAAGCACAATAAAGCAAAGTGTGATAAAACGAGGTGTGACTGTACAGTATTTGGTGAGGGTCTACTCCCTGCCAGGGGCTGGGAGGCAGAAGTACCTGGGACACGGTCCCTGTCCTTAGGACACTTGGTGGCAGCGGAGGAGACAGAATAGGCCCAGAGCAGCAAGCCCAGAGCAAACAAAGACAGAAGCTACATTATTACAACAGTGCAAGTCCCAGGGCACAGTCCCTTAGCAGCTGGGGCTTCAGGGCATACCCCAGAGGAAGCCTCATGTCAGCCAAAACCCAAGTCCTCCTCCGCATGGGAGTTTGGCCGACAGAGTAAGGAGGGGGCCACGCGTGCAGACCCTCAGCTCCTGGCTCCTGGCATAGCTGCTTCCTGGGAGAGCCGTCCTGCTGCACCTGAGCACGGGCCAGGGCAGCAGTGATGCCCAAGGCACACCAGGTCCCCAGGAGACACTTGGGGGCCTGCAGGGAGTGAGGGCTCTGGAGGTTCCCTGCCTTTTTCCTTTCCTGCAAAGAAATCCATTCTGGCCATTTGCCTGTGTACAGGGCTACTGGCTCCCCTAGAGTGTGGCCTGTCTCCCAGGTAGAGCCTGTCCAGCTGGTCACGCTCACCGTACACTCCAGGGGCCTGGGTGCTCCAGGGGTCACACTCCAAGTGGGGAGCAAGCCAGAAGCTCCCGGACCCCTGACTAGCAGGGGTTGGAGTGAAGATGCTCAGAGGCAGGGGTGCCAGTGTCAGGCAACATCTGAGTTAAGACGGAATGGGGAGGCTGGCCAGGCCGTCTGGGAGAGCAGGCCCAGAGGAGCCGCAGAGCCTAAGACCCTCTGGCTGGGTGGGGTTGGGTTCGGAGCGCTAAGAGGGTACAGGACGGGGTGGGGGGGGCCCGCAGGCAGGGCCCTGCATCCGCTCTAGGCGAGAGAGGAGGCTATGGGGACAGACTGTCGGCCATGGGGCAGGGAGGCCCAGTCTGGGCGAGTGGCCTTGAGGGCGAGGGGTGTGAGAAGGGAGTCCAGGAGCTCACCCAGTTGTGCGCTGGCCGAGAAAAGGGAAGGATGGAGGCCAGGAGTGGGCCTGGGGAGGCAGGGCAGGGGGCTGGAGCCCTGAAGAGAGGAGGAGGGGTCAGCAGGGAGCCAGAGGTGGGGGAGAGCCAGAGGGTCTGACAGTGCTGGGGTCGGGGGGACACACCTGCAGCTCAGCACCAAGCCTGCCAAGCCCATGTCACCGAGTACTCTGTGTCCCCCGCAGCTGGTGTACCCCAGCGACTTCCAGCTCACGGACAAGGAGGTGGGTCCCAGCCCTCTCAGGAGCAGACCTCACCCGGGGAGCAGGCCCTCACTGGCTTTCCTGTGTTTCAGAAAAGCAGCATCTGCTACCTGTCCTTTCCCGACTCCCACTCAGGTAGGCCACCCCACCTCGCCCCGGTCTGGGTGTCTCTCTGGGGCTGTGGAGAGAAGGAGGAGGGAAATTAGCCTGCCCAAGAGCCCCTGCGGCCAGGCCTGCACAGCCTGTAAGCACCGGTCCCCCTTCCCGCTCCAGGGAGACAGCCAGAGCCCCACGCCGCAGCAGCCAGTTTCCCCGGTTCCCGCGGAAAGAGGTGTCTCTGGGCAGTGGGGTCTGGCCTTCAACCAAGCAGAGGGGTCACCAGGAGCTGGGTCCTGGCCTCGGCTCCTCTCCAGGGCTCGGGTGTCCGGGTCGGCCTGGTTTTCCGCCCCGGGCAGGCTACGCCGGGCCACACACGACCCCCGGCCTGTGCTTGCCCACAGTGCACGCGCTGCGGGGCTGTGGCTGTGCTTCTCTGTGTGCTGAGTTTAAACCCTTAGGTGCAGGAATCTAGACACGGGCACCTCTGTCGGGAGACACAGAGCCGGAGGGCTGGGCTTTTCTGAGGCATTTGCAGCCCGGCAGGGGCTTTGCCCCCTCCCTGGCCCCCCGCCCACTTGCTGGCAGGAGAGGCTCCAGCCCAACCCGGACACAGCGTGAGGGGACCACCTCTTCCCCAGGCTGCCTCGGGGATACTCAGTTCAGCTTCCGCATTCGTCAGTGTGGAGGGCAGAGGCGCCCCTGGCACACGGACGACAGGCACTGTGACAGTGGGGCCCCCGTGTCTCTGCAGGTGAGCCGGGCCACCTCTCCAGCGCCCCTCCCCTGCCCCTGCAGGCCAGGGTCAGGCGGGTGTGAGCGGCCCTTCAAGGCGCCTGGGCAGCCCCAGCCAGCAGGGTCTCCAACTGCCGCAGGCCAGACTCGGCACCCCAGCCTCGACTGGGGGTGGGCCAGCGCTTCTGAGGACTCGCCAGGGTCCCTGGGGCTTTTCCTGTGCTCCACGTGTGCGCCAGGGCGGGGCTCGGCGTGCAGAGGCTGGTGCTCTTGG